GATCGACGCGCGCGCGGGCGCGGTGTGGGCGCGTTCGATCGCGCGCGACGGTGGACGACGCCGACGACGTCCGACGGGACGACGACACCGGAGAGACGACGTCCGACGGGACGACGGGACGACGCGGGGCGCGCGCGCGCGTGCGAACGGCGGACGCGCGCGGGGGGGGCGACGCGTCGCGGTGGTGCGGCGCGAGTGGGCGTGGGGAGACGCGGTGGCGGCGAACGGGGGTCGGGCGCGGGCGCGGGCGCGGGCGCGCGGGATGACGGCGCGGGGCGACGAGCCGCTCTTGGGGTTGCTTCGAGACGCCGCGTGCGTGGTGGAGACCACGGAACGGGACGCCGCGGCGCGCGCGAGTACGGCGCTGGCGCGGAAGCGGGCGAGAGCGAAGAGCGAGCGCGAGGCGCGCGAGGCGCGCGCGGCGACGGATCCGAGTAAACCGCGCGCGTGCTCGACGTGTAAGAGGACGTACGACGCGAGCGCTTTCGACGGTCCGCTCAAGACGTGTCGATCGTGCGCGAGACGAAAGGCGCTGTACGCGCGCAAGCGGCGAAGAGAGATTTTCATCGCCAAGATGGAGTTGGAGAGCGCGGCGGAGCGCGGACGCGTCGAGTTTCCGTCGACCGCGAGGGCGACGGAGACCGCGGGGACGGAGGAAGCCGAGGAAGGTCCCGCGAACGGCGTCGCGGTGCGTCTAGGCGACGACGACGATGCGGAGCGCGCGCTGGGGTTGAGTTTTCTGGCACCGAGAACGTAGTCGTCGTCGTCGCCGCGTTCGTCGTCGTCTCGGCGTTCGTCGTCGAAAGCATCGTCGTCATCATTAGAAAGAATCATCAATCGTGCGATTAAAGAATTTCATCCGAGTTATTTTACGCTACGAGGCGGGCGATTCGTACTCGGACCGACGAACCGACGCCTCGGGCTACGAAAGAAGCCGCTACGTGCGCACCTGCCTCTTCGACGCGCCATTCTTGGTGGATTTTTTCGCTTCGTCGTCCTCAATTCTAAGCTCGCGGACCATGTCGTTCATCTCGTCCGAGTCAAGGAACGAGAGACTGAGCTGACGATTGAGTTGCTCGGAGTTCATGCGAGCGAGCGCAGAAAATGTGTCGTCGCCCGCCTCGAGCGCGTCGGCGGAGAACTTGCCGTCTTCACCGCGCGCCATCTGCTCCACCATCGATCGAAGGCTCTCATTCGTCGGCGCGTCATCGTCGGGAAGGAAGTCGCTCCACGGTAGGGTGAGCGTCGTTCCCCCGGGCGTCGTCGACGGGATGCCGAAATCGTCGTCCGCAATCTCCTCGAGAGAAAGCGCGCCGATGGGCGAGCCGAGCGAGCCGAGCGAGCCGAGCGGATGCTCCTCCGCGTCGTTCGAGCTCGGGGTCTGCCCCGAGGTCCCCGTCTCGAGCGCCGGGAGATACCTCGGGGCGCCGCGGCGCTTGCGAGAGCCGCTGAGCGCGGCGTTCGCCCCGGCCAAGCCGCTCTCGCGAAGCGCGCTCGAGATGTTCTCCCCGTCGTGCACCGCCTGGACGAACTGTCGCATTTGAGTTTGAAAATTCTCCGTGTGCTCCAGCCGAGCCTGGAGCCTCGACACCTCTTCCCTCTGTAGTAACTGCGCGTCTCGCAGACGCATCACCTCTTGCACCAACAACGCGCGGTCGCGCTTGAGAAACTCCAGCTCATTCGCCAGACCGCCGTAGTGTCCCAGCTCCAAGGAATCACCCTTGAGTGCGAGCGACGAAGGACCTTTGGAGGCACCGCCGCGTCCGGCGCCGGAGCCCTCACCCGCCTTTTTCGCAGTCGACGAAGACGCGCCGCCTCTTTTCGACCTCGGCGCGTCGTGCCTCTTCAAAGTCGTCAACAGCTCCGGTCTCCCGCGCTCGAAACCCTCGACGCCGAACTCGTAGCGATCGCTGTGACACTTTCGAAACCCGTAGTTGTTCAGCTGTCGCACGAATGACGCGAAGTTTGAGTGCTTGAACGTCTTCGGCAAGTACTCGGATTCCAACACATCCGGCTTCCAAACCGTAAACGTCCGTCCGTTCTCGTTCCACGCTATGACATCGTTCGACTGTTCGTCCGTCACCAAGTTCCACGTCTTCCTGGAGGAGCGAAAAAAATCGACGACGACCCGTCAGTGTGATGCGCGCGGTGACGTACGCGTCAAAAAGCGCGCTTCGCCGAGCCGTCGCGCGCCCTTTGCGCCCTTCTCAATCGTCTTTCGTCGAGCGCGTCGTGGATCACCCAGCGCGCGTCGTGGATCATCGAACGCGTGCGAAGATGAAGACGACGTCGATCACCCCTCGGTGACCTCTCACGACGCGTCGTCGACGAAAAACGAAGATCTTTGACGTTTTCTCCCGAGGTGCCGACCGATCGACGAGACGACGACGACGACGACGACGACGACGCGCGCCGGGTCATCGCGAACGCACCATAAGAAGGGACTGACGTTCACGGTGGCGAACGGGGTGGAGGTCCCGGTCGCGCTCCCCGGTTGCGCGCTCGCGTTACTCATGAGTCTCAGAGGGACGCGCAGTGAGGGGAAAAAGCGCGCGCGGCGGTCGTTCGACGAGTCGGGACGGGAACGTTCGAGAGTGTTTCGAGAAACTTTGTTAGTGATCAATACGCTCGTACGATGATTCGGTCATACATCTATCTATCGACGCCGCCGCGCGTGCGCTACTTTTCTCCGCGCGCCGCGCTCCTGAACGCGCGGACGTGACCCAAAATCGAGTCGGCGACTTCCTTCTCCGTCGTGTTCTTGCCGTAAAACGTGACAAAGTCCCCGTTCGGATCGACGAGGTAGGTGATGATGGAATGGTCGACCAGATAGTCGGATTTCGCCTTTTCGTCACCAGTCTTTCGGAAGTACACGCGATACTTTCTCGCCGCGTCGGCGGTTTGCTTTTCGGTCCCCGTCAAGCCAATCATCTTTGGATGGAACTCCTTGACGTACTCGGCGACGCGTCTCTTGTCGTCCCGATACGGATCGATCGTGATGAACACCGGTTGGACGGTCAACGTATCGTCACCATCGACGTGCTCTTTCGCCTCTCTCAACCGCGCGTCGACGTCGTCCACGACGGCGGCTACTTTTTCCAACTCATCCGGGCACACGTCCGGGCAGTGCGTGAAGCCAAAGTATAGGATCGCGAACCGCCCTCTGAGATTCTCATCCGTGAACGCCTTCCCATTCGCGGCGTTGACGAGCGTAAACGCCCCACCCACCGCCGCTTTCCCTCCCGCGACGACGGTTTGGAACCCGTTCGTCGCCTGATTCGCCTCCGCCTTGCGCGCGTCCAGCCTCCGGTGTCGCTCGCCGTCGTAGTAATACAGCAATCCGGCGCCCGTGAGCGAGACGAGGGCCAAGGACGTCCATCCGATCGGGCCCTTATTCGCCCCCGGCGTCGGCGTCGACCGCGGCGTCGGCGAAGGCGTCGACGTCGACATCATCATCCGTCCTTCTCTCGCGCGCGCCGTCGTCGACGCCGAGCTCGCTTTCGTCGATGCCTCGGCGCGCGCCGCGCGGGCGAGCGCGTCGACCGCGCGCGCGCGCGCTCGAGCGAGCATCGCGCGCGGCGGTGCGTCGATGTGCGCGTCGACGCGGGGGAGGCGGGAGGATCCACGACACGGACCCGTAAGTACCCGTAAGTTTTGCGAAACCACGCGCGCGGAGCCGGTCGGACTCGACTGGGGTATCAGACGAGTCGTGAACGGTGCCCACACGGGCTCTTTAGCTCAGTTGGAAGAGCGTCAGACTTCGAATCTGAATGTCGGAGGTTCGAGCCCTTCAAGAGTCATGAGGCGCGTCGATCACTTATTCAAGACTCGGGAAGGCTAACGTCACATCGAGCAAGAAGTAAGTTCGGAGACGGCGCCGCCGCGCGCGTCGTCGTTTCCGATTCATGTTGACCCCGCGCACGACCCGAGTTGAAATAGGGTCATAAATCCATAGTGTGCTCCAAAGTCCTCAATGACGAGAGAATTGAAAACCAAATCCCAGTGTGGCCCACTTTTTTTGATTTTTGGAATTACGCACCAAAACTTAGGTTATCCGCGTGCGCTTTCGACGATAACGACTGTTGATTGAATGCTCATAGACGCGCACCCGTCATTTACTTTTCGTTCGCCTGCGCTTCGCGATTGATTGCCATTACACGCGTTCTTTGTCGAAAATCTTTCTAAAATCTAATATAATACTACCTAAGGTATACTCTCCGTCACGACTGAGGAGCTGAGATCTCCACGATGGTACACTCGCTATCAAACGTAACGTCCCCCGTTGACACTCAGTTTTCAAAATATTTGGAAAATGTCGACGCGTCGCGTCCGCATCGGACGCCGAGCGGCACACCCCGCCGCGATGCGTCCGGTGGCGACGCGTCGCGGCGGGGGGCGACGCGATGCGGACGCGAAAAAAAAAAAAAAAATGCGACGCGATGCGGCCGCGCGCGACGCGACGCCTGCGACGGCGACGACGCGTCGTCGCGTCGGCACTCGGCGCGCGCGCGATTTCGAATTGTCGCGCGCGACGGCGGCGCGCGAATTCGCCTCGAACGCGAACGTTCCGTGCGCGCGCGCGCGACGACATCGACGAGGGAATAAAGGTACGTCTCGTTCGCGGACGATGCGCGGCGCGACGCGGAGTCGCGGCGCGGAGAGGGGGCGATCGGTCGAGATCGCATCGCGCGCGCGCTGTTCCCCGGTGGCGCGTGCATCGCGCCGCCGGGGAGCGCGCGAGCGCGCGATGACGACGGGCGCGCGCGCAAGGATGCGTCGATTTGTTTCACGTCGCGGTGCGCGCGCGCGGGCGACGGCGTCGACGACGGTGACGCGTTCGTTCGATGCGCGCCGATGGCGGATTAATAACTAACTGTCCGCCGTGGACGCGCAGGACGGGAGCAATGCCGCGGGGATACCGCGGTGGATACGACTACGCATTCGCGGGGTTGAGGAAGCGAAACCGTGAGGCATTCGTGGAAGCGTCATCTGCTGCTAACGCACGTGTTGGTTGGCCAGTCGGGGGTCGCGGTGGCGCGGATGCCAAAGCTAAAGCCAAAGCCGAGGCGGACGCCGAGTCGGATGCGGCGAACGCGCGCGTCGCGTTCGCGGCGGAGGCGACACGCGTCGCTCTCGGCGACGTCACGAACGCCGCGAGGCGAGACGAGGCGGCGCCGAAGGCGGCGAGCGGAGTCGGATTGGATGCGCCGGTGGAGAACGACGCGCCCAAAGATACCGCTGGTGGTGTCGCGGCGGAGGCGACACGCGTCGCTCTCGGCGACGTCACGAACGCCGCGAGGCGAGACGAGGCGGTGCCGAAGGCGGCGAGCGGAGTCGGATTGGAGGCGCCGGTGGAGAACGACGCGCCCAAAGATACCGCTGGTGGTGTCGCGGCGGCGACGACGCTCGCGTTGAAATACGTCACACGCGCCGCCGGGGACGGACTCGGAGGAGCACCGGTCGTCACCTTGGAGGTGTTTAATGCCGAATTGTGCGCCAAGACCATGAACAATGAGACGGTGCGCGGCGTGGATTTCGAGAGCATCATCTCAGACATTCACTCGCGCGTCTCACCGAGCGCGTGCACGCGGGACAGTTTCGCGCGTTGGCTCGCGAGAGGAGCGCCATTGTTCGCGGCGACGGGGCTGCCGAAGGTCGACATGATGGATGATGATGAAGCGTGTCACCAACGTGCATTTCGACGTACCACCAGTTCAACAAACGCACAGTGGTCCTCCCCGCTCAACGCGGCGGAGTCAACGTATGCGTGTCAAAATCTTAACGCGGTTCGCGTCGCGGCGATGGCGCTGAAAGCGAGCGAATTCGAGTTGCGTCAGGCTTTGGAAAAGGTCGAGACGGCCATGGGATCGATGGTGCGATATCTGAACGTACGCGGGTGCTATCACTACAGAATTCGCACCGACGACGGACTCGTGTTCGCGTACGTCGGGGAAAGTGTCGATGTAGAGCGACGAATCAACGAGCACTTGACGGCGCTGCTCGGCGACGGGCGCGCGCACGACATGCAGCGAGGACACGCACTCGTTCGACGAGCCCAAAAGGGCGACGACGACCATGCTGATGCTGATTTTCAATGCAGTTTGTGGGTCATTCACGGACAGGATGAAGCGAGCGCGGTCGAGTTGGCGAAGACGTACGTGAAAACGTGCGCGTCGACGCCGTCGATTTTGGAAGTCGCGCGCGCGATTGCGAGCGCCGGATTCTTCGTCGAAGCGGTATTCACCGCGCACTACGGGACCTTGCACGAGCACACCGCGGACGGCGTCGTCGGAATGAACTTTTCTCAGCCCGGTGTGTGCCATAACAGAGGGGTCACCCGCGATTATACGTGGAACGAGATCAGAGAGACATTCGGAAAGAAGACGCGATGTACGAAGACTTTGCCGGCATTCACGTGCGGACGGTGCGACAGAGATTTTCCGCAAGGAAAGTCGCGAAGTTACCGGCACGCAGACGGCCATGGCCGCGTGTGCGTTGGGTGCTACCAAAAAGCAAGCAGGGCGAATCAGCCACCGTTAAAACCGCCTTTTCGGTGCAAAATTTGCGTTGGGGATTTTCCGCAAGGAAAGTCGCGAAGTTACCGGCACGCAGACGGCCATGGCCGCGTGTGCGTTGGGTGCTACCAAAAAGCAAGCAGGGCGAATCAGCCACCGTTAAAACCGCCTTTTCGGTGCAAAATTTGCGTTGGGGATTTTCCGCAAGGAAAGTCGCGAAGTTACCGGCACGCAGACGGCCATGGCCGCGTGTGCGTTGGGTGCTACCAAAAAGCAAGCAGGGCGAATCGACCACCGTTCACGTGCGCGCTATGCTCGCATGCGGTTTCTCGAGGGAAGGTGAGTCATCCCCAAAGAGATGGTGACGGGCGCGTGTGCGACGCTTGCTACAGGAAATGCCTCGCTCAGTTTCAGTGCCTTGAGTGCGACAGAGAGATGCAAGGGAAACAAAGTTACCGCGGAGACGGCGATGGACGCGTGTGCGCAAGATGCTACCAAATCACTTTACTCGCAAAGCAACCACCGTTCACGTGCGTGCTATGCTCGCGTGCGGTTTCTCGAGGGAAGGTGAGTCATCCCCAAAGAGATGGTGACGGGCGCGTGTGCGAAGCTTGCTACAGGAAATGCCTCCGCGAAATGTGATACGAGTAATAACTTTTGTAACGGGTAATCGGTGAAGAACTGAATTCAATGCAAGCTCTTTGATTAAAAATTAAAAGCCTTCGCAAGGTCAAAAAATGTTGTAAAGCCCATCGGTATGTTTTGTCAACACATCGAGCGCGTCGATGGGCTCTTGACGAGCACAGTATGGGCGTCGGTTTTTCCTGGTGTTTTCGAGGCGAAACGCTCGAGAAACGCTCGAGCGACGACGCGGGCGTCGACGTCGTCGCACACCGCGTCGCCGCGCGCGCGCCGACGGTGGAGATGGTGAATCACAGATTCGGCATTCGCGACATGACCGCCACGGGGCGGTACCCGCCGCAGCCAAAGTTTCAACCGTTTGCGTTTTACTCGAGCGTGCGCCTGGGGGACCCGGAGCAGTTGAAACTCATCATGGACACGGATCCGTATTACTGGACCCAGGACAACGGCGCGGGGGCACCGATTCACTTCGCGGTGACTTATAAACAACTCGATATGGTGCACCACATCTTGCGACACGTCCCCGAGTGCATCAATCAGAGAGATTCCAAGGGATTCACGCCGCTGCATCGCGCGGCGTACTTGGCGCAATTCGACGGGTACTTGGAAATCTTCGAGTACCTCTTATCCGAGGGCGCCGATCCAACGATCAAGTGTGAGGATTACGACCCGTATTTGAATCCAGGACGGAAGACCCCGCTCGAGCTCGTGAAGAAGGACAAGGAGGTGCACGACCAATTGGTTGAGCTCGTGGAGAAGTACGCGAATGTCGAAAAGCGACCCGAACCGCACCCGTGTCTGGCCGATTGGTGGGCTCTGTACGATTACGGCCTGGATGAAGTTCGCACGTGGGCGAAGGATTTCGTGAAAGTTTTCCCCGAAGATACTCGACGAGAGCGCGCGCGCGCGGAGAAGGCGGCGTTCAAGGAGAAACGTCGGGTGAAGCGCGCGGAGATCGAGGCGGAGATTGAAGCCGAAATCGCCGAGCGACGGGACAAGCCCAAACCGGAACTCAAAATCGGCGACGATTTCAAGCACGACGGGCGAATGCTCGATGCGAAATCTATCGTTGAGGACGAGAAGAAGCTTCGAAAGCACTACGCGTTCTTATTTCCGGGTCAAGGTTCGCAGGCGGTGGGTATGTTGCGCGATGACTCCCTGCTCGAGTTACCCGCGGTGAGCGCGATGTGCGAGACGGCGAACAAGGTTCTGGGATACGATTTACGCGACGTGTGCGTGAACGGACCGAAAGAAAAACTTGACGACACCGTGCACGCGCAACCGGCGCTTTTGCTCGCGAATCTCGTCGCGTTAGAAAAGTTGAGAGACGTCGATCCGGACGTCGTCGCCGCGTGCGACGCGTGCGCCGGTTTGTCTCTCGGCGAGTACGCCGCTTTGGTTTTCGCCGGCGTCCTAAGCATCGAAGATGCGTTCAAGGTTGTGAAGACACGCGCTGAGGCCATGAGCGAGGCCGCCAAGGTGGGCTCACACGGCATGCTCAGCGTCGTCGGCTTGGACGATTCCAAGCTTGAGGAAATCGTCAACGCCGCCAAGTCCTCGGATCAATCCGCCGTGTGTGAGATCACCAACTTTTTGTTCCCGCAAGGGCGCGTTGTTTCGGGTGACAAGACTATTTTGGACGTCGTGCAGCAGCAAGCGCAAGCTGCCGGGGCGATCAAGGCGGCGTCGCTGGCGGTTTCGGGCGCGTTTCACACGTCTCGCATGAACGCGGCGAGCGACAAGCTTCGCGAAGCTCTGTCGCAAGCGACTTTCAATAAGCCTCGCGTGGCGATCTACTCAAACGTCACCGCGATGCCGATCGATGCCGACAGCGATCCGGACGCCATTCGCGATTTGCTCGCCAAACAACTCGTCTCGCCCGTGAAGTGGGAGCAGACGATGAAGAATCTCGTCGGCGACAAAAAGACGAAGATGTTCGAGCTCGGTCCGAACTCCCAGATCAAGAGCATGTGCAAGCGCGTGAGCCTCGATTGCTGGAAAGAGTTTAAGAGCATCGACGTGAACGCTGAGCCGAAGAAGTAAGAAGCGACGACGCGTGCAACGATTCGCGTGCAATTCGAAAATATTACACTCCATTCACAACCTACGTCCGTCTACCTACGCTCGTCATCGCTCGAGCTCGAGCTCGATCAAGTCCACGTCCGTGCACGTCCATAACTCATCGCACTCGGTCGTCTTTGAAATCGACCTCGGGGAGCTGAAACCGGCGTCTCGAGAGAGTTTAAGAAACGTCTCCAGCGCCTGACGGTTACGGCCGTACGCGAAGACGACTCTAGTGTGTTTCGGCGTGCAAAAACGCTTCAAGGTTTCCACGAGCGCGGGCATCGCCTCCTCGACGTAAACGACGTCACTCGCGACGACCAGATCGAACTTGACGTTCCCTAACGCGGCGTCTTTTCCCCACTCGAGCGCGGCGCACGACGCGCTCGGCGCGTTTCGTTCCAAATTCTCTCTCAACAAATCCAAATTGTGCTCCAAATCCGTCGCGACGACGGTTGGGATTTGACAGATTCGCGATAAAACGCAACTCACTAAACCGCACCCCGAGCCGAGCTCGAGCGCCGTCTTCACGGACGACGAGGACGCTCCGCCGAGCGTTCGCTCGACGTATTTGGCCAATACGATGCTCGAGTCCCACACCGTCGACGCGAACCCGTGAACGGACGTCTTCGTCGAATACTTGCGCTGTTTCAATGAAATCTGAGTCGTCATCGCGTTCGACGGGTACTCGTACGCCTCCTCGAAGCGCTCTCGGTCGCTCTTCATCTCTCGCTTCCATCGCCACTGCCGAATGAACATGGTGCACTTTGACTCGTCCACGCCGAAGCGCCGTCCCTTGAACTTTGACAGGTCCTTCACGCCGAGCGGTTTCTTCGTCGTCGTCGGCGGCGTCGCATCGCGCGTGGGCGCGGACGCGCGCTTGCCCATGACGACGCCACCGCGCGACGGGCGCGTCGGCGCGCGGGCCACTGGTGGGCGGTTCGATGCCATTTTCACCGGTCCTCACTCGAGGGGTGGGACCGTCTCGGGCGCGCGCGCGCGACGGCGGTACGTCCAGGTGCGTACCAGGGCGCGTTGATTTCCTTACACACGCGACTCGACGCACGATTATTCGTATTGTTGAAGTTCGTCGTACGCGCTCCGCAGGAGTTTGTACACGGCGATCGATATTCCTTCGGGAATGTGGACGGCGCACTCATCAATCGCGGTGAGCCAGTCCTCAAGTCGCGTTTGAGCGTGATCCAGCGCGACTGAGCACATTGACTTCATCCGCTCGCGCGTATCCTCCATGAAACTCGCTGGACATTCGCTTCTTCGCTCGTAGACGGACCGCAGGACGACAAGGCATAAATCTTTCAACCGCAGAGAAAAGTGCGATCCGAGCACGGCTTCGTAGACGTCGTCGACTGGCGACTGCATCGCGCCCGCTCGCGTCAGCGCTTTTATGATGGTTTCGTGTCCGTTCGCGAGCCACAGAGCCGTAATTCTCGTGTCTGGACACTGCGCATTGACATCCGCGCCGCCACGTATCAGCGTTTCAACGACATCGGCGTGCGCGTGTAAAGCCGCCAGCATCAGCGCGGTGTACCCGTCCTTCTTTTGCGCGACATTGACGTTGGCACCAGCGTCGATGAGTGCGCGAACGATATCTTCGTGTCCGCGCACAGAGGCGTAAAGCAGCGCGGACGACCCTTCGTCGTCGCACACGGCGTCTACGTTTGCTCCATGTTGTAACAATACCTTTGCGATGTTTGAATTTCCGCGACGAGCTGCCAGCATTAGCGGAGATAGACCGTTTACACGACAGCGATTCACACTCACACCGGCTCGAATAAGTTCCTGCACGATCTCGACGTCGTCATCACAAGCGTTATCGCACGCCAAACTTAACGCCGTACTTCCGTCGACACCAGTGGCGTGAACGTTTGCGCCGTACTCCAGTAGTACGCGAATGATACACAAATCATGTCTTCGTGCCGCGGATAACAAAGTGGCATCTCCTTCGAGCGGGCGAGTCGCGTCCACACTCGCACCGTTTTCCAAGAGCACGCGCACCGTGTCGACATGACCGCGCCTTGTCGCCAGCGTGAGAGACGTTTGCCCATCCGATTTGCAGTACGCGTCAAGCAGCGCGCCACTCTCCACAAGTACTCGTACAACCTCGACGTGACCTTCATCACTCGCCAGCATCAATGCTGAAAATCCATCATGAACTTGCTTCGCGTTCACATCGACACCTTGCTTGATCAAGTATCGAACGAGGTCCGCGTGTCCATGCGCAGCGGCGCTCATCAGAGCGTTGCATCCATACGCGTCAGAAATTTTGGGATCCAATCCGTGATGGACGAATAATTTCACAATGTTCAAATGACCGTTCGTGGAAGCGCGCAGTAGTGATTCCACGTCCATCACCGCACCGTGGGTCAACAAATTGCCGACGATGGGTTCGTGACCATTCTGTGCCGCAAGCGCGATTGCGGTGAGCCCATCACTCGGGCGGGTCGCGTGCACGTTTGAGCCATGACCGATGAGAAAG